GAATGGAGTGGGTTCGGCCACGCCCCGAGGAATATCGAGTACTCTGGGGTGAGAGTGTGATGTATGGGGAGCAAAAGTAAGTTATTAGCGCGAATGGAGTGGGTTCGGCCACGCCCCGAGGAATATCGAGTACTCTGGGGGAGTGAATGTGACCAGACTTTTATGTTAGTACTGCCTGTTGTTTATATTTTACTCTATTGGAATGAATTCACAACTTGAACACATTCTCCGTTAGATTTTTTGTACATTATTTCATTCAGTAGGGGGTACCCATCAGAAAACAGTAACATTCGATTTGGGTGAAAAGCAGTAAATTAGCCAAAATTCGAATGTTTCATGAATCGGAGTAGGGTTGGTCTAATGTGAATTCGATCACCAACAAACGTGGTTTGTAACGGAGAATTTTTTGATAGGGTGTTCAACTTGTGAATTTTCGATAAAATGTCAGAAATGGTGAACTTCGAAAAATCGCCAAAAATGAAATTTTCCGCCGATCAGGCTGGATTTAATCTCATTCGACGCAGAAATTAATCCTCTACAGATGTTGTTTCGAGCTGTTTTACGGTCAGGCTAACGGTTTACTAACAATTTCACGAATGTCTGTGTTTGACTTTATGTTAATTTATTGGAATGAATGTAATTTATTAGCATGAAAGGAAGGGGTGATTTAACCCCGCCCCGAGGAATATCGAGTACTCCGGGAGAGTGAATGTGTCCAGACATCTATGTTTGTGGTGATGTATTGAATGTTTTGTTTCTATTCTGTATTTGACAACCTGAGGTACAAACGAGAGACTAGCATTCTAGAATATCAACGTAGTATATATTTGAAATCAGAGACCAGATCGAGACGCTCAAATGGCTGCAGTTTAAAACAAAATATGCGCGAAAGAAAAGAAAAAGAACAGATATATATATATTTCTAGAACTTATACGTTGAATATTACATAAAGGTGAGCTTTCTGGGTTTGATGAATTTTTTTCTTGATTTATTTTACGTTTGGAGAGCGATTAAGGTTATTTACGAAAAGCCATTAACGAGAAGCCTATTTAGATAAATCTGGGCCTGATAACTGAGATATTCACGCTTAGTTTGGACCGGGACAGCATTCTCTTGGCGCAATCAGCTGAATTCCATGGGTTCTTCCCACAGATCTACAATTCGAAAATATCTTATCGCTAACCGCTGAAATAGAAATATATAACACATTTTAAAAAAATACCAAATGAAGCTTTTATCTTTTTTATATTATTTAAATGGGATCATTAAAAATTTATTTTGGTTGATTAAACAAAGAATTGCAAACCATATTACGGTAATAAAAAAAATCTGCGAATACTTCAACATAGAAAAATATTCGCTAGTTTTCGTGGTCCGATTGACCAAATCATATCTTTCAATTAATTAATCTTTACGTAAGGTATTGGTTGAGATAAAAAAGTAAATGTCACGAGCGGGATTCGAACTCACGACCTTCGGCTAAATACGCCGCTGCTCTACGGCGTTAAAAGCTCTACCACTTTTCCCTCCTTTAGGCCATTTTTGGTTATTTAGCCGAAGGTCGTGGGTTCGAATCCCGCTTGTGACACTGACTTTTTATCTCAACCAAAACCTTAATTAAAGATTAATCAATTGAGAAGAATTTATTTGATCAATCGGACCACGAAACCTAATAAATGTTATAAGCAAAATGAAGTATACTTCACTAAAGCTCTCCGTGGCCATTTCGTTTGTCGCCGAGAATCAAATAGATGACACGACATTTGAAAAATGGCAAAAAGGAGGGAAAATTCAAAAGTTGCGGTTGAGATGGGAGGTTGATGTCCGAGTGGATCGAAGTCACGATAGCTCAAGTGGTAGAGTAGCGGTCTATTTAGCCGAAGGTCGTGGATTCGAATCCTGCTTGTGACACTGACTTTTTATCTCAACCATAACCTTAATTAAAGATTAATCAATTGGAAAGAATTTATTTGGTCAATCGGACCACGAAACCTAATAAATTTTGATATAACCTATTTTTAATCTCGATACAGTGAAAATGTTAATATATTGTGCTTACCATTTGTCCCCTTGGAGATGCAAAAATTTATTTAACAGTACATGTAAAATAATAAATAATTACCTTTTTTTAAAGAGTTGATATTTTTACTTCAGTTTTAGTCGTCAGTACTTCTAGTATCGATTATAATCATTATCGCTTGTTTTGTTCAATTAACTAGTCACGTTTCAATCTTCAGAAAGACCTCCACAAATGGCAAAATAATTAATCGTGTTTTATCAAAATCTAAAATCGAGAAGAGGTGGATGATTATGGGCTATTACTATGTACACCATATAGTCACTGCAATTACCCATAATAAACAGGATCCTTGAGAACTGATATGGACTGGAGTTAAAGTTAAATATAGTACTGCCTTTGTTTTCTAAACGCATTCAGTTATGCTATTGACGGAGTTTTTTAACTGTTTCATCAAAAAATACTTCCTTCTCCATATACGTTTGAGTAACAAACCTGCAAGTGTAGACGGACCCACTAAGTAAAGTAGTGCCAGTTCAACATAGATACTTAAAAATAGAACAAATTCCTTGTGAAATTTAACAGAAAGAATTTAAAATTAATATTATTAAGTTCAAATATATCCTATCGTAGTCGAAAATTTTCTGAGCTGTGGCTGAGAGCCGTTGAAAGATTGTATTTAATAGATTTCCTACAATAATTTGGATTACAAAAGAATACTTTCTTAGTTCTTAATTAAAAATTTGAAATTGTATTTTGGAAATACCACATTGAGCAATACTACATTTCCTTTCCCGAGTCATAGAGTGAAATTCGGGGATGTGTTTTCGCCCACTCCTAAAAATTATTCGAGTTTTCTTCATGTTCATATGATTTTAAATCCGTGGGATTGATCTCTTCTCTCAAATCAACATTATTAATATTTTCCAATACTTAATTGTCTTCTGCGATTGGAAGATTATATTTCATGGAATTTTTTTTATTTGGGGAGATTACCATATTTTTATTACCCGATATTACGAGTAGAGGTACTCATTGGAGTAGGCTTATTTTCTTTAACATGTTGCTTAATAATTAAGTTGATCATCAGGCGTGTGAATTTTTCTAGTTTAAATTGTTAAAATAATTTAACTTTTGTCGTTATTGATTTCCCTAGTTGTGTTATCAGATTAATTTGTGAACGATTGATTTTTTGAATATAGCGTTCCAAAATCATTCGTGAGCATTCCTAATGCTTCATTTAAAAATTTGAATAGAATTAGGGATCATAGTGGTTCTTTTCATCCTAGTAATAATAGTCGTTTTAGTATGGCCTTAAAAATCGGTGCTTTTGTATTTACGAAATGATTCCTTTGACAAGTCTTTAAAATATTTAACAAAGTTTACAACCCATGAAAAAATTCTATAGCCGTTTCATTATATTCTTGTTTTAACTTTGTCATTTCGATTTCTAATGTGTACCTCTTTTGTCATCCCTCCCAGCGACCTGATCTTGATCTAATCCCAAGGTCATAACGATAAACCGCCAATAATTTCTGCTGTACACTTAAATTTTACCCTTATGGCCTTACGTTTATGCCAAATTTGATTTTGAAAATCGTTAATGTCTTGTTTATTTAAAAATGTCTATTAATTAATCTGTGATTAATTCCGTGAAATTCCGGCAAAATTTCTAAATACATGTATAAATATATTGTTACAGAATACGTATTGTTTTCTTACAACATTAAGCACTATTTTATTTATTACTATTTTTATTTAAAACACCTATTATACTTACCTTGTATTTTATAATTAATTAAGGTTTTTAGTTGAGATAAAAAAGTCAATGGCACGAGCGGGATTCGAACCCACGATCTTCGGCTTGATACGCCGCTGCTCTGCCACTTGAGCTATCGTGACCTCGATCCACTCGGACTCCAACTTCCCATCTCAACCTCACCTTTTGAATTTTCCCTCCTTTTTGCCATTTTTCAAATTCAAAAGGTGCGGTTGAGATGGGAAGTTGGTGTCCGAGTGGATCGAGGTCACGATAGCTCAAGTGGTAGAGCAGTGGCGTATCAAGCCGAAGATCGTGGGTTCGAATCCCGCTCGTGCCATTGACTTTTTTATCTCAACTAAAAATCTTAATTAATTGTAATATATTAATTGGTCAAGCGGACCACGAAATTAGTGAATTAATAGTTGTATTTTATTATAATCTGAAATGAATTACAAACTCAATTTTACAATAATTTTTATTACAATTTGTGTTTAATTATTTCTCCGTAATATTGAAAACAACTGACGAAGACGATAGTGGTCGTTGGTTCGATCATCTTGAGCTTTGAAGTTCTCGATGGACTAAGTTCTCAATTCTACCTGATGTATCAATAAAGTTCGAATACGGTAAACTTGAAAATTATCCGGTATCGACTGCAGTTATGCTATTGTGTGATAATTTTCAAAAAGGAATACTTTGTACAACAATAAAATTCAAAATTGGAAAGATCAATTAGAGAAGGTGGCGTCGGTGGGTACAACGGTTTAGGCTTTGACACGGCGCTCATCACTGTAAAGTAAAGGTCCCGGGTTCGAATCCAGCGGCCCTGCATTAGAACTCGACATACTTACAAATGGGCTTTTTTTTTCAAAAACACCGGCACCCTGAGGGTTTATATGACCTCTGCTATTGCGAACAGAGAGAACAGAGAGAGAGAGAGGGAGAGAGAGAGAGAGAGAAAGAGAGAGAGAGAGAGAGCGAGTGAATCGTAAGCCTTTACGCAATGAAAGTACCGTAGTAGATTAATTTGCAAAAACACATGAAAACAAATAAAGAAAACAAAACACGGGCATAAAGAGCAACTTAATGTGTGCTAGATAGGACAAGGAAGGAATGCCAGGGGTAGCATAGGGAATTTATTACATACCATGATTACATAAAATCTTTATTATTTAAATATATGTGTACATAATATATACATGATATATTATCATTTCTAGGTGGAATACTTTCGTGAGAAAGACCAGTTTCTGATCGGAAACGACGGATCGGATCACTGGTTGGAGGTCAGACGGTGTAAACTTTATTTTTCCGGTCATTACTTGGCACAGGCGACGAATTCACATGGCTACGCTAACGCTCGATTCTCGTTGCAAGTGTTTGCTCAAGGTAAGAATTGCTATTAATTATCAATGAATCATCAAACTATAAAATTAACTGAATTATTTTTGGATGGATGGGATCTGGACTTGCCAGATCATATACAAATTAACAGATTCATTCCTCTGCTAGTCTATTGCCTCTGCCCCCCCCCCACATCGTCAAATAATATTATACAATCATTACATAAAATACAAAATTAAAAATTTTAAAAATTATATAAATATAATAATTTAAGCAATAAAGAACAATCACAGTCTTAAGTACTGTATAACAATGTCAACTTATTTTTAAAGAAGTAACCAGCTCGGAATTATCTGAACTAAAGTTATACACTTAAATATATCACAGTTTAATCACAGGTATGGTTTACTTATGGTTACTTGGTTTACTACCCGCTAGGGTGCTCTGTGTAAGCTGTTTGAACACACGATACGTTCGTTCGCTTTTCACAAGTTCCTTCAAAGAATTGCCTTGTGACCTCCAGAAGGAGGCCATATATTGTGCAAACTGTTTCGCGGGTCTTGACGAAGTTGTACAAAGCTTGGGCAGAAGAATAGCTTGTGTCGTACGTCTTCAGGAACATTGCACAACTGACTGTTTGGTGTTAGCTCTCTTGAATTTGTCTAGGTAAACAGCAAAGTTTCCAAGCCCCGTGAGCATTTGTGTGGACCAAAAATCTGGCTGCACCCAACTATGTTTTTTCTCTCTTTAATGATGGGTAAGAAGTCATAAGTAAGCCTGCCCTTGGCACTATTTTCCCATCTGCTTTGCCAGATGTCGGTTGCCCGTTGAGAAAATTTTGGCTGTTGGGTGCATTTCTTAGACAATTCGCTTCATGCTCCTCTAAGCGGGCAGGCCTGGTAGCAGTCCCTTCTTCAGCTATCTCTTTGCAATATGAACTTTTATGCCCAAGTCAATGGCTGTTGCTATCATTAACACTTGGAGAGCGTGAGTGGAAGCCGTTCTGTACTCCTTCGATATCCTCAGTAAAGCAATTCGCTGGGTTTGTTCTAGTACCTGTTTGGTTTTACCTTGCAGTTTTCTTCCCCAGGATGCTGCACCATACGTTGCCATAGGGATATAGACGCTCTTGTAGATTGTTATCATTGTCTTTGAGCTGAGCCCCCATGTTGATTTGGCTATCCTGCTTAATTTTGCAAAGGTACAGCGTGTGGATTCCCGGATTTTTAGAGCGTGTGGGAAAGAATTCAATCTCTCCTTTATAACAACGCCAAGGTATTTGACTTCTTGGCTTGGTTTGATGTTTTTATCGTCTATTCTCACTCTAAGGGGGGTGCCCATTGTCCCTTTCAATACGAGCATTTGCCATTTGTCAGGAGCTACCTTTAGGTTTTTTGTTTGACACCAATTGACTATAAAACCTAAAGGTAGCTTCTGACAAATGTCAAAAGCCGGGAACTCACTTACCCGATTCTACGCCATGCGACGCTACCCGATGCTACCCGACGCCTTGCCACGTTTTGGTGGGGTGTGCACATCTATCCGACGAAGTACACGTCGCGTACAGTCCACAGCCTTTATCACAATAATCACTATCACAATCGCAACGCATCGTTTGTTCTTAATGCACTATTTTGATCAAAACCTTGTAATAAATTGTTAGTTAAATTTTATGAGAACAACCATTTAATAAATTGTTTGTTAAACTTAATTGTTTTAAATAAAGTTACTCCTAACCATCTAATTAAACAATGTTTATAAAAACTTATGCATTTTTGATCTCGTTTAATTTGGTTTACATTAAAATAACATGTTGTAATTAATATAACGACAAAATTACATGTACTTAGTTTGAAATATACTACCAAAAATATGAGTGTCCTGTTCTGATCCTACCCGACATTACAAATTTGTGTAATTTTACGAGCAAAACTATGAAATAAATTGTTAATTAAATTTTATGAGCAAAACCGTGTAATAAATTGTTCCAATTTTAGTATATGTACCGCCGAAGCGAGTACAATAAATTGTTAGTTAAATTCATTATATCAAAAAATCGTATTCCGGTGTTTTGATTAATTTTCTACCAAACCATTAAAATTAATTTTTTAAATAAAAACTAATTAATTTTTAATCACAGTTAATTTGGTTTATATTAAAATAAGTATGTTGTAATTAATATAACGACAATAATACATGTAGTTTGAATAAAAATATGTGTCCGGTTCTTTTGACTTCGACTGTACTCGATGCGACCCGACGAAAATCTGGACAGTGGGGATCGCAGAGCGTCGGGTAAGTTAGCGTGGATAGCATCGGGTAGATTTGCACGGGGGTAATGCAACCTTATGTAAAATCGGAGTTTGGATTTGCGTCGGGTAGCATCGGGTAGCGTCGCATGGCGTAGCATCGGGTAAGTGTGTTTCTGGCTAAATACTCGTCAGGAGCTACCTTTAGGTTTTTTGTTTGACACCAATTGACTATAAAAACTAAAGGTAGCTTCTGACAAATGTCAAATACTCGTCAGGTTACCTTTAGGTTTTATAGTCAATTGGTGTATTGCCTCTGTTTATCATAGAAATGAAAACCGACATTTATTGACTCACCTCCTGCTGCTAATGAATGATTAATTATGACGAATTAAACAATGAAGTTTAAATAGTGCATATTTGTTTGTTTCGTCGTAATTGATTAATGATTGTGTTGACAAAAATGTTTCTCGTCAAACAGTATGTAAGTCAATAAATTTGTGGCACCTAAAAACAAGTTTACGATCCATCCAAGGGACAAAAAACTATAGAATATCTCTTTTATTTCCTTGATTACATCGTAGCCATAATTCATAAGATATTATGACCTGAAGAGCCAGTTAGAGGATAAAAGCCGCCTTTATTTGCTCTTGGCACGTTTTTCAGTTTCATAAACAAGCCTGATTTACCGGAGTAAACTAGTTTTTTTGGAGGTGAGACCGGATTGACACAGATTTGGCAGTCGAGTAAGTCTCTGAGTATAGCCGGGATAAGACAGCCTAATAATGCCCTTAGATGGAAGCCACCGACCTCGCAAGGACGCTCTCCCTTCTTCCACCTCCGTTGACGTTGTCATAACATAACGTTTACCGACAATGGGAGTTTTAATGAAACCTTTAATTAAGAACATGCAACTCCATCGGATTTGCTTGAGATATCCACAGGATCACTTTGTATTTGCTGAATGATTGGGAGATGCTTGCGTCAAAATATTCATTGGAAAATTCCTCTTTCGCAGGGTCTGTGATGAGCCGAGAGGCTGACACACTAACCATGCAGGCACCGCGGTCCCTGCCACAAAATTAACAATCTATGAAAAACATGTCTAATTGCCATGTTTTTACGTCATTTGGCTCGTTTTAAATTAACACAGCGGTAAAAGTAGAATGGAAAAAAAACGAGAAGTATCAGAGAGGAATGTAGAACTTATTGTTAGAACGATTAGAAAGAGCAGATCCATGTCGGAATTGTTCTAAGGCAGTGGTCGACAAACCGCGGCTCTTTGACTTCTTGGATGCGGCTCTTTCATTAAATGTTTAGTGCAGACTCTGGCGAGGGAAGATATGATTTTTAACACTTGGATGATGATGATCAACTGAAGAAACAAGCGTTTGCTGTTCTTGGGTTTACATATTTATGAGAACAATCATTTTCAAGCATGAACTTTATCAAGAGTAGATTAAGAAATCGGCTTATCTATGAGAACTTGAAATCGTTCCTAAAATTAAAAACAACAAACAAACCAGACTTACACTTACCCGATGCAACGCCATGCGACGCTACCCGATGCTGCCCGACGCAAATCCAAACTCCGATTTTACATAAGGTTGCATTACCCCCGTGCAAATCTACCCGATGCTATCCACGCTAACTTACCCGACGCTCTGCGATCCCCACTGTCCAGATTTTCGTCGGGTCGCATCGAGTACAGTCGAAGTCAAAAGAACCGGACACATATTTTTATTCAAACTACATGTATTATTGTCGTTATATTAATTACAACATACTTATTTTAATATAAACCAAATTAACTGTGATTAAAAATTAATTAGTTTTTATTTAAAAAATTAATTTTAATGGTTTGGTAGAAAATTAATCAAAACACCGGAATACGATTTTTTGATATAATGAATTTAACTAACAATTTATTGTACTCGCTTCGGCGGTACATATACTAAAATTGGAACAATTTATTACACGGTTTTGCTCATAAAATTTAATTAACAATTTATTTCATAGTTTTGCTCGTAAAATTACACAAATTTGTAATGTCGGGTAGGATCAGAACAGGACACTCATATTTTTGGTAGTATATTTCAAACTAAGTACATGTAATTTTGTCGTTATATTAATTACAACATGTTATTTTAATGTAAACCAAATTAAACGAGATCAAAAATGCATAAGTTTTTATAAACATTGTTTAATTAGATGGTTAGGAGTAACTTTATTTAAAACAATTAAGTTTAACAAACAATTTATTAAATGGTTGTGCTCATAAAATTTAACTAACAATTTATTACAAGGTTTTGATCAAAATAGTGCATTAAGAACAAACGATGCGTTGCGATTGTGATAGTGATTATTGTGATAAACGCTGCGGACTGTACGCGACGTGTACTTACGTCGGATAGATGTGCACACCCCACCAAAACGTGGCAAGGCGTTGGGTAGCGTCGCATGGCGTTGCATCGGGTAAGTGTGTTTCTGGCTTTACACCTACTTTCCAGGGAAATGCGAGGCCATTGTTCACATTAGCGGAGTATTTGTAGTGTTTTAAGGATACCTTTTATACTATTTAACTTGTTACATTTTTAAATAAATATTATCTTTATATAAGAATGATACCAAGTTTTATTTAATGTACCGTTAGTTAAACTAAGACATATTCAGCAAAGGCAAACTCGAGAGTGTACTTAATTCTAATTAATTCCATAAAAATGTCTACTAAAGCAAAGCTTAAGTTTAAAAAATAGCTCTTTGAATAAACTTCAATTTTGTATTTTTGTTTATATT